GGTAAAAAAAAAACCATATTGGTGATTTAGTTGTGTGGAAGATGTGTATGGTCAGCAAAGGCATGTCCTGTCTCATGAGCTAAAGCAAGGGCAAATTCCTGGCCCTGCTGAAACCCAGGGGAGGATTGATGGATCTCACCCCAAATGTTGTTAGCATTACTCTGGTAGGGTCAGTGAGCAGAGGTGTTAGTGGGGTCTGCCCTGCCTGATGCTCCCCTCAGACAATGGTCAATGAACCATTTTCCCAATGTTTGGGAAAATCCCTGTTGGTGTGGTGCAAGGTGTAATGTTAACACCACGTGGCCTCCACTGGTGGGGAAAGATGGGCTATTTGCAAGGGCTGTTCAGAACAGGAATGAACCGTGGATGCTCTGATTCACCCTAGAGAGGAGGTTGTCAAGCCCAGAGATGGCCAGGGCCCTTCAAGATGAAGAAATTAGATACCTGATGAGAGGGGTAGGGAGATGTTTGCCTGGGCAGGGCAAAAGGCATGCCACGTGGCTTGGGGCTGAATAAAGATGGGACCTGTGCAATTTTAAGCCCGGGAACTATGAAAAGAAGCTCTTACAGAACTTCATGATGTTAATGTCTTTTTTTCTGACCAGATCCACTCAATAACCCTAGCAAATACTGATGATGAGTCAATTTTCTATTGTCAGTGTCAGTGCAGAGCAGCACTAGAGACCACAAAGCGGAGAGAGAAATGCTGAGACAGCCTAATGGAGCATGCAGCTCAGCCTAAACTTCTTGCCTCTTTTGTTTTGTTTTGTTCTTTAAATTCTTGAAGAGATGTAGAAAAGGATGGCAAATTTCACCAGAAGTGAAACAAAACCACATGCGTCTTTGTCTGTGGATTAAGTGTTTTCAAGAACTAGCTAGAATAAATGTTTTCCTGTTTTCACTGTTTTCTGTACCTTAGGACCAAGCCACATAGGATCTTTGCTAAGACTCACAAGTTTTCTTATTTAGACTCTGTTATTTTAGAGAACTTGTTTTGCAGAGCTGTGCATCCCAGGGAAAGAAATAAAGGTCAGAAGTGAGAATAACCTACCTAAGGGCCTGAAATACTTCTAGTTTCTCTAAAGACCACCCCGTGTGAGAAGGGCAGATTTCAAAATGGGTGGAACATCTAAGCCTGGAGTTGTATCAAGTTATTGATGAAAAATCTCCAAGATCTTTGCGCGGACCAAGATACTTGGGTGGCGCTTTCTCAGTCTTACTTCAGCACTGTGGCCTCACAAACTGAAAACTAGCCCTGCTTTTCCTCTGGCTTTCAAAATAACTATGTCTCTTGAAAAGCTGTCTCAGCAATAGTGAAGGAGTGGGGAAAAAAAAGTGTATTATATCCCCATGGTTTCATACAGTGCAGCTGTGCTAATAACAGAGTGCATTGAGACTGAGACCGAAGGAAAGGCACAAAATAGTCCATTAAGTGATCAGTTGAATCTAACAGTAAAGCTTCACACAAAGGGAAATCTATTGTCCAGGTATCCTATTGTAGATGGGAGGGGTTTGTCTTTTTCTTTAGGGGGAAAAATATAGAATATTAATAAATTCAAGCCTTTACAGTAATACAGTTTTTATTGAAATCAATAGGAAAGTTGTCTTCTGATAGAAAGGCTACTTTACTTTTAATTAAAATCTTCAAATATTCTTAGAATATTTTTGGATTAAATATCCATATTCTGTGGGATTAAAAGTTTGGGTTTACTTCTGTTTGAATGTCTGCAGGATGATGATGAGATTCGAAAACAACCAGGTCTCCAGATATATTGAATTAGTTTTCATTAAATTTTCATTATTTTTTTTTATTAAAAAATAAATAATTTTTCATTTTTTTTTTCCATTAAATTTACATTGAAAGAAGTAAGCACACATCAGCATACAGCCTTCAACAGTCCCTCCTAAGTCTTGGGGTAATATTAGTAGTACAGGAATAATGGAACAAGTATCAACTAAATGTAATATGCAGTTGCCACAGTGGAGCTATTCCCTCTGCATCGATTGCTGAAGTACAAGTGGTTAGTTTATAACCCTCTTTAGGTTACAACATTTTAACGTTTCTTCAGTGTTTATTTATTCTCTTCCCAAAGAATGTTCTAAAATATCGAGTTTACAACCTGTGGCTCATGTGATGGTAGTGGAAACAATTAACCTAGAAGCTTTCAAAACCACCACTGGGATTTTGATGCCCAAACTCATTAATTTTAATAAGAAGTGAGCTGCCAGTCGTCTTAAGTGGTTTCTAAAATCTCAACTCATAAAAACACCTTTCTACTGGTTCCAGTTTACTAGGAGCTCAGAGCAAGGTAAACACATGTAACAAAATAGTAGGTGTTAAAGGGGGGAAATATGTGTTCAGATGTCTCTGAGACTATTCAAGGCACTAAATGGTGGCCCCACTGTTGAGCTGGCAGATGTGGGCTGACCTAGGGACTGCCTCTACCTTCGTTGTCTCAGGGAATTACTGACTGCTCAGAACATGAGGCATAGTTTTGGTGGCAAGGAGAAGAAAATGGAAACAGAAATCCTGGCTCAGCTTTACCTGTGTTGATTACATTGTTCATCTACTTTGGGCTCTCACGTCTGCTTCATTCTCTTGCTTTCTTAACATGTTTCTGCCCACCACAGCCTTGTGGCCAGGGTAGTGCTCTTCTTCCTGCATGCAGATAGATGGCTGGGTTGTAGGAAGATCTGTGTACCAGAATGAGCTGCCTATGGGCGGTATCAACCACCTTGTGTTCCCATTGCTTTGGCATAAGTGCAGGAGGCAGCGAAGTTGGCATTTTCTTGTTACCGGTTGCTGCCTGCTGCCATTGCAGTTACCCACATGGTGTTTGTAGATGTTTGTTCTGGTCCTGCCTAATGCATCCTAACCAAGTTCACACTGTGTTATCTTCTAAGCTGCTAAAGGCTGGCATATGCATGTTGGTACTTCAGTGATCCACCATCATGGAATCATAGAATCAGCTAGGTTGGAAAAGACCTTTAAGATCATAAAGTCCAATTGTTACCCCAGGACTGCCATTAAACTGGTTGGATAAAGATTAAGAACTGTCTGCTGTGGCCTCAGGACCCACCCAGTGCAAAGAACCTTTCTTTTCTTTTTACATGAGTCTGGAGATGTCTTTGCTTCAGCCATGAGCCTGTGTCACCGCCTAAGTTGTCTTGAAGGCTTTGGAGAGCACCAAGACCTCTCAGAGAAGGTTGCTGCACTGATGAAAATTCATCCTTGACATCAATCATGGAAGAAAGTCTTAATGGGTTAAGAAAATTAGACCAAGGAGGTCTCTGTGATGTACAATAGAGCGTGGAGTGAGTATGAAGGAATTCGAAAATGACACACAGAGAGTCTGAATGTTTGGAAAAAGAGGAAAAATACAGGATTTTTTTGGTGTCTTTTATTAACATAAGCAACCTTAGAGAATTTAGAGTTAGTTTGAACAAGTTCTTTCTTTTCTGTATCTGTCATATGATCTCTGAAGAATTTCATTAATGTTGGCTACAAATAACAAAATTACTGTAGTTTTTGCCAGTAAGTCTTATAGTAGCAACGATTAATTATCAGTAGCTATTGGAAAGAGCTTTGGGTGAAACATGATGCAGTGGAACTAGAGATGACCATCTTGACTGCTGTTGTAATGGACTTCAAAAAAATGAAGAAAAGCTGCCATTAGTACTAGATGTGACTTTTTTGGAAAAGAACAAAATGTTCTGTAAGCGAAACATGTGGTTTCACTTGTAGCACATTTTGTACATTGTCACCAATGAAGTTTAGGATTTTTATTACTTTTTCATTAAAATGTCTTACTGGTTTCACTCAGGAGGCAAAACTTTTCACGTGGCTTTAATTGTTTCTGTCATAAAAGTCATAGCATCCATGTAATAGAAATAGTTCTGCAGACCATAGCTTCATATTGCCTATTAATTCTCTTCCATTTTCTGTACCTACAACTCACTGGCCCATCCCAAGGACAGAAAAAGTTTCTTTCTTGAAATTAAGACCAAACAGGAACTTCTGTTGAAGTCTGGGGAGGAATCACTTTATGTCAGTACTTGTTTATTGTAGTTTTGTTTCAGATAGCTCACAAATGTAACATGTATCTCTGTGTCTATGTATGTATATGTGTACCTATGGTACATGTCACATATATCACTGACCACATATCAAAGGAGTTTGTACTGACTTTTTTCTAAAATTAGTGAAACTCTAGAAGATTAAAGCAATAAAAAGGCTTTTTTTCTGTGTAGTACCACATGCAAAAGGTGGTACAGTAGAGTTTCAAACAGGAGTGAATGGCTCTGACAGTATTTCTTCAAGGTGGCTTTGGACAGGTCATTTGCCACCTTTTTTGCTTCTATTTCTCCACTATACAAAAAATGTTAGAGTTCAGGTCTCACATATCCTATCCCGGTAGCCTAGCTACTAGACCATACATGTCATCAGCCTGGGCTTCCCTGTCACCACTCCTAATTCAGATGAACAAGCGTAATTATTGCTGCAGTCAAAACAGTGACTTGTTTTCCACAGATGATATCCAAAGCTGGGGGAAAAAAAAAAAAAGGAACTAATATTATCTCATTGGTTTAAGATCTGCTTCTGTTAAGGTACCTGTTTTCCTCAGTCACAGTCTTGCTATTTAACCTTCAGCCCAGTGGGGGAGGTAACATTGACCCCTACCACAGGCTATAAAAAAGCCTGTAAGATGTAATTAAAATGCCAGAAAACAATAGCATATCAGCTGGTTTTCCCCCTTTTTTCAGTTTAGTCTGTATTTGAAAGCTTGATAGGAAATGCTGCTGCTGTCTTTCGTTTGCTGTCCAAAGCAAATAAACTCCTTGTACATCTTCTTAGCAGTTAGGAGCACTCACTGAGGAGTGTAGCCCTCTGCTTTTATTTTTTCTTAGTACAATTCCTCACTCATCAAATGTTTAAATGTTGTGTTTTGCAGTTCCAGGATGACAAAGACAAGCCCATCCTTGGAAGGGTCCTCAGCAACAGCCCTGCCTGCTGTCCAGCTATCTGAGCAGGTCCCACTGACATCTCCTTCCCTGAAGCCCCTGCAGATGGATGAAGAAGACAGCCTGTCTCCTCACCTCCTGTTGCCAGATAGCATCAGCCAGCTGGAAGAGTTTGGCAGGCAGAAGAAATGGCACAAGAAGCAGCACAAACACCATCGCCAGAGGCAGTTCAATGACCTCTGGGTTCGGATAGAAGACAGGTGAGTCATAACTTTTATGGACCCTGTCCTCTTCCTGCTGTCCCCTAACTGGTTGCTCTTTACAGATCCCAGCTCTTGTTGATTAGATCTTAAGAAGGGTTAGCAAAAGGCTAAATGGGAAAGACAGGGAGTGAGGTGATGGTTTGGAGCCTGATAAAGAACTAGAGGGAAGGCTGGTGGGCACATCTGATCTAAAAGTAAAGGAAAAAAAAAAAGCTATTGCTTAGAATATTTAAAATATGCAGAAACAAAGACTTGTCAGAGTAAAAACAGGAAAAGAATTACAATGGAAAATATTCTGTTTGCTCTCTTTCTTACAATAATTATTTTCCAATCTTTAGTGTCAGTTTTCAGTCCAAAGATTTGCCCATTTTCCAACCTGGGAGTCTTTTAAGATTCTGACATACCTGACTTTCAGTCTTAACTGTGATCTGGGGCTGAAATATTTTAACATCCCAGGCTGCATTGAAAAAATGAGGCAAAAAAAGTACTTAACTCAGGCTTCTATGTGAACAGAATGGAGGTAGACATGTTTTCGTGGCCATTTCAATCCTGGTCCAAGGTTAAAAATTCCCATTCAGAGGTTGAATAATAGCCTTCATGTTTGACCAGGGATTCTCAATGTGTGCTTTTAGGATTCCTGTGCAACTTACTCTCCCACCTCTAAAACTGAGGAAGCTCTTAGTGCCTTTATCCAGGCCAAGTCATGGGCAGATAAACAGCCTAACAAGTAAAAGGATTGAAATAATCTGTTGGGAACCGGCTGCTTGCTTATACATGCAATGACTGTCTTTGAGCATTACTGTTATTCCCATTTTCATAGCACCTAAATTCCTTGCTAGTGAAATGAATCAGTGTATCTCAAAGACTTCTCCCTTTGCTAAGGAAAAAACTCTACTTACTTGTGTTTGGGGATTTTTATTTCTTTTCTTAGTTCATTCTTTTTTAATGGAGAAGTTGCCTCTTTTTTTTTGGTAGTTTATTGTATTCTCACGGTGAATGAGGTAAGAGTTGTTGTTATTAAGGTGGTGCATATTAATCTTAATGTAGTAAGGCAATTTCTGAGGTTAATGTCAGCCTTGGTAAGAAGGATTCGGGTGTTTCGGTCTCAGATTGTGTTCAGTGGTTGGATCCTCTCCACAGAGGATGGAAATGTTTAAGCATGAACTAATTCAGTTCAACAAAGTTGATTGCCTTGAGGACAAGAGACTTCTCTATCTTTCTTCTGCCTGGAGGCTGATGAGTCATGGTGTCCCATGATGTCCCAGCATTTCACATGGGTGTCCGGTCCAGCTCACCATATGTGTCATGCAAGAATGATGCTTAAATAGATCTGTTGGAAGGCTGGCAGTTAGGGACAATCCTCTTGCACCCATCCTGTCTAGCCAGAGATGATACTGGATATTGGGCCTGATATGGCTGTGGAAATGTGCAGCTGGGAGCTTAAAGCAGTGGTGCTTGTATAGCTTTGGTGGACTTTATGCCTTATGCTGTTTCTGTAAGAAACAGTTTCAGTAAGAAATGTCCCTAGGAAAAGTATTTAAAAGGGTAGTTCCCCAGTTAGAGTTAAATTATTTGCTCTGTGCTCTCCTGTGAGATTTCATCTGAATCAAAACCTTTAATCCCTCTACTTCCATTTCACAAGGATGGAGACTGGGATAAGGAAATGTAAGTTTCCGCTCCCACCACACTGGTGATGAACCAGACACTGTGTGTCGCCTGCCTTGCTGAAAGATCCCAGGGAGATATTAGTGGAAGATCACAGGCCTAGAAATGAGGAAAGGCTGGAAGAAGGGAAGTCTGCCTTAGTGCTTTCAGATGGTTTTAGTGATTCTACAGTTCTGGAGTAACTTCTGGTGTTTTCCTGGAAACGAAACAAAACAAAAAATACAAACTGTTCAGCTAAATCAGAGGCTCACAACCAGCTCTGGTTTCCCCATAAATTGAATGGGGTCTCAACTTTCATAAACCAGCTGCTGCATATTGTGCTTTTGGCAGTTGGGTTTCATCAGCATTAATTGCAAGCTGGACCTTGCACAAGACAATAAACAGTGAGTTCTCTCTGACTGGTTCCTTTCTGATTGGCAAGAAAGGAACAGAAATGTCAGAAATGTGAGCCTGTCACCAGGCTTCGTAGGGTGATCATTTTGGGGAGGAAATGGCTAGGATGGCTAATAATATGGGCAGTGGAGTGTTACCTGTGCACATGAACTTTTGTTATGTTGCCTCAGCAATGTTCAACAGCACTCAACAGTGAGACTGTTGATGAGTAATTGTTGTACTAGAAGTTCACACTCTGGCCTGTCCCATAGATCCATTGTGCATTTGCATATATTTAAATTGAGACCCCCATCTACCCCATGTGGTAGATGGGCTGAGGCCTCTGCATATAGTATTACGTTGAGCTGTGGTCCCATATTTTCAAATGGTTCTTCTTCCAGTTTGAGTTTCCTAACTCACCTGTTGTCATCTGAAACTTACCTTTGAGACAAAAGAGAGAGATTTAGGTCATTGTATGGCTTTTGTGTGAAAGCTGCAACTTAGTTTCTGTGTGAGGTCTCCAGCATTCAGCTGTTTGAACTGCTTTTCAACCTGAAAAGTCAAAGAGAGATACACAGGTGGAGGACAAATCCAGGTGAATTTAAACCAGATTATTGTTTCTTCTATGAACCTCATTGAACTGTGAAAGGACTGTGGTTCATACAGCTCTTTTCCAAAGCTTTACTGACCGTGGATTAGAGGACTTTATGAGCCATGAATTGCAGGGCTTTTATGGACTATGCATTTCTCAGCTATCTCATACACTTCCATGGAAATCTTGGGGTGTTTTTTTAAGCTACCAACACAGAAACAAAGGAAATGAACACAGGAGAACAATCTTAAAGGAACATCAAAGGTCTGACTCGAACCTATAAAAGCCAGGAAATCCATAATTAATGGTTCCACTAAGACTTCAGCTCACACAGTTGTTTGGGTCTGATCTGAGGTTATAGCTACAATCTGAAATGGCCTCGTGAAAAATGAGTCATCGTTTAATGTCACACATCATTATTAGTATTTACTTTCAGCTATACCTTAGAGATCGTCCTTTCCTTTTTGTTCTGTCTTAACAGCTGAGACATGTGAGTTGGCACCCCTGAGTGCATGGTATTTAGATTTGTGTGTTGGAGGGTTAGTACTGCTGCGGAGGATGAGAAAGCTTCTTCTCTGTCTTCTCCCTGTCTTTGACAGAGCTAAGATTTGCTGATCTCCTGGGTAATCGGCTACACTGAAGGCTATTACAAAATAAAAAATGCTGATGAAATGTGTGGTTTCCTCTCCCTTCTGCCTCCTTCCCCCAAAATCTAAACAAACTGAAAAAGTCCTGCCTGGCTGCAGTTTGTGTTTGAAATAGTTTTTCAAGAATCAAAATTAAATGGGAGATTTCAAGGAGCAGGATTTTTTTTCTTTAACTAACTGCTTGATTTTGCAGAAATATGCAGATCTGAAGTCTGTCTTTGGGAGGAATTTGAACTTAGACAAAACTTAAACTCAAGCTAGCTCCTGTAGCCAAAAGCCAGCTGGGGCAGCAGGGAGGGGAGGCAAAACCCTTGGGCTGAAAGGCTGCAGTTTGGCATACACAGTGTGTTATTGTTCCTGTTGACACTATGTTAGCTGAGTTTCCCCTTGTAATATAAATAATTAATTACAGATCATCCACTGGCTTTTTAGGATGAGCTGCTCAGTTAATTGAAAGAGTAGAGAAATGTCTGTGACGTTTCAGAGTAGGCCATGAAGGATCAGCCATCACACCTTTGTTCTAGCAGATAAAAGGTTTAAGGCTACAAACAAAACCAGACCAGGAGAACAGAGACTCTCTCCCAGCTGGGGTAGAGCATTATAGCTGCTGAGGCCATTAGGGAGGGAGAGAAGGGAGTTAGTAACTGGGAGGGTGTTTCATATGGTGTGAGGTTTGGAATGAGCGATGGCAGCTGAGGGATATGAAAGAGAGAAAAACAGTGGTGGGAATAAAGAATTAGAGAGGATGTAATGGGTAAATTCAAAGATTCATTCCCACTGCCGAGGAAGAGATCTGGGTAAAGATAGTGTTTGGAAAGACACTGAGGACACACAGATGCTTCACTTGCATAGGAAAGAAATTAAAGGAAAAAAACAGTTATCTGAAGAGAAAGGAAATTCTTGTCCCAGAGGTAAGCTTAGCTCTGCAGAACCTACCATTAGTGGGAAGCAAAATGGATTCCCTCTGTCACTGGAAATGGCATTTCTCTGATAGCCCAGTGCTGACTATTTAGCCCCAGATGAATGCAGTAACATCACAAATATTAATTTCTTTTGGAAGTAAGTTATTTTAGGTTAAAAAAAGTTATACCAGTGATGGATGGAGGGAGACAATGTGTAATAAACTGCACTAAGTGTGTCTGTACAGAGTGAACCTTATCAGTTTGGATGGAATTTAAGCACTTAGCCTGTTATCCTTTCTTTCAAGACAATGCAGTGATGGAAAACAGAACTCTGTCAACTCAGACAAACTTTTAATTTCACTTAACTGCATCTGAAAGGTAAATTTCAGTAAATGAATCCAAATTGCTTCCTTTTCACAACACACGGTGCTGAAATACAGTACTTAACTTCATTAAAGAAAAGACTGCTTTTCTTTAGAGGAGACCTAGACACTTTTGAAGTCTAACAGGTAAATTGTGGTCAGATGATTTCCCTCCATATGGTAGCTTTGAGCTTGAAATTTCCATCACTGGGGCCTTGTTTGTTTAAATTACTCTATCTATCTGCCTCCCTGCTAAGGATACTGCTTGGAGAGAGCATGCCTACTGGCATACTCACAGGGAGAGGGGATCATTCCTTTCTTCAGCCTGTTTCTGTGCCACCCAGTAAGCAGTTTGCCACCACTGCATTTATTTGCCCTCTCTTCAATCAAGGGTGAAGATGCAGCTTCAGGACGTTTCTAACTTGTTATAATGAACCTGTCTTCCAAAGCAACCTCT